ACAGGGATGAAGATGGACACGAGGACGGACTTGGGGACAAGTTTGGGGACAGGGATGGAGATGGACACCAGGATGGACCCAAAGACATGTTTGGTGACACGGATGGTGATGGACACCACCCACCCTTGGTCTACACGTGGAGATGCTCACAAAAACCACCCGGTGCCAAGCCCAGAGGTGGTGCCACCACACCCCGGTCCCACCACGATGTCCCACCACGGTGTCCCACCAGGTCCTTCCCGGCGGAGCTGGGCGAGGTGTTCGCGGCATGGAGCGACGAGTGCGCGGCGCGCGGCAAGGCGGCCATCGGCCGGCGCCTGGTGTCCTCCTCGCTCTTCCTGAGGTTCCTCTGCCCGGCCATCATGTCCCCCAGCCTCTTCGGCCTCGTCCAGGAGTACCCCGGCGAGGCCACCGCCCGCAGCCTCACGCTGGTGGCCAAGGTCATCCAGAACTTGGCCAACTTCACCACGTAGGTGGCCGTGGGGACGGATGGGGACGTGGGCTGGTGGGGACATCCCGTCAGCGCTCCGTGGGGGGTCATGGGGCACTTGGGTTGTCCCCATGTTCGGGTTGTGCTCAACGTGCCATGGACGTGGTTTGGATGGTCCATGCTCCCAAAAGTGGCCTTTGACCATGACCATGGTGGTGACCCCTTGACCATGGTGGTGACCCCAGACCATGGTGGTGACCCCAGACCATGGTGGTGACCCCTGACCATGGTGGTGGACCATGTGACCATGATGGTGACTCCTGACCACGACGATCACCCCAGACCATGGTGGTGACCTCTGACCATGATGATGACCCCAGACCATGGTGGTGACCTCTGACCATGACAATGACCCCAGACCATGATGATGACCCTTTGACCACGCCGATGACCCAGACCACAGTGGTGACCCCTTGACCATGATGATGACCCCAGACCATGATGGTGACCCCTGACCATGACTCATGACCCTTTGACCATGATGATGACCCTAGACCACGACGATGACCCCTTGACCACGATGGTGACCCTTTGACCACGACGATGACCCCTGACCACGACGATGACCCCAGACCACGGTGGTGACCCTTTGACCACGGTGGTGACCCCAGACCACGGTGGTGACCCTTGGCCCATGCCGTTGACCCCAGGTTTGGCGAGAAGGAGCCCTACATGACCTTCATGAACGACTTCCTGGAGCGCCACTGGGCCACCATGACGGACTTCCTGCAGGCCGTGGCCACCGCCGAGGCCAGCGCCCACATGGCCACCTACGATGGCCGCGTGGACCTGGCCCTGGAGCTCGCCACGCTCCACCTGCTGCTCTGTGACATCTTCTCCAGCCTCGACCAGGTGCCACCACCCTGCGGCCACCTCCTTCTTCGCTGGTGTCCCCCGGGCCACCCGTGACGTCCCCGTGGTGTCCTCGCAGGCCACGCAGGAGGAGCTGGAGCCGCTGCCCACCATCCTCAGGGCCATCAGGGAGGGGACACCTGTCCCCGTGTCCGTCCGCCTCAGCTCCACCGCCAGGAGAAGGTACCTGGGGACACCTGGGGCCACCTGGGGCCACCTGGGGACACCTGGGGACATCTGGGGACACCTGGGGACACCTGGTGACACCTGGGGATGAGTGGGACTCCTGGGGACGAGGGGGACACGTGGGTGTCGGGATTTGGGGTTCCTCTGGTCCTGTTTGGGGTCAGGAGATGGGTCTGATGCCACCAGGGTTTGGGGTCCCTCTGGTCCCACCAGGGTTTGGGGTTCCTCTGGTCCCACCAGGGATTGGGTCTCCTCTGATGCCACCAGGGTTTGGGGTCCCTCTGGTCCCACCAGGGTTTGGGGTCCCCTTTTGTCCCACCAGGGATTGGGTCTCCTCTGATCCCACCAGGTTTGGGGTTCCTCTGGTCCCACCAGGGATTGGGTCTCCTCTGATCCCACCAGGGTTTGGGTCTCCTCTGGTCCCACCAGGGTTTGGGGTCCCCTTCATTGCGGCCATATTGGGGGTGCCTCATCTCCATTCCCTTATGCTTTTGTCCCCTTGTCTCTCTGTCCCTGTCCCCATCCCTGTCCCTGTCCCTGTCCCTTGTCCCCATCCCTGTCCCCCTGTCCCTGTCCCTCTGTCCTCTGTCCCTCTGTCCCTGTCCCTCTGTCCC